ATTCGGGGCCCTCGCTGGGCCCCAGGACCGTCAAAAACGACCAAGGATGTGAGAAGCCGGTCCCTGGGAACGGGTCGGGACTCGTCGGGACCCCAATTGACGAAATCACGGCGTCGGATCGCTGGGTGCTCAGGGGAGGCCAGAAAATTTACCCCAGAACAGAAACACCAGGGTCAGCCACGCGCAGAGGGTGGGGGGGGGGCGGCGAGCAACACAAACTCTAGAAAGCAACCCTACTTCTTAGAAGGCGCGGGCCTTACAGAGAAGCAGGTCCAAGGCCTTCAAGGAAGCAGCCTCCTTCCAATAGATCTTCCTGGGCCTCCAGGGGGTGTACATCGCTACTGAGAGCCCCCGGCATTATGCACCGCCACCCTCCCGGAAGGTATTTGCAATGTTCGTCGGATGGTGTCTTTGCATATATACATCCGTGGCGTGGGGGGGGCCAAATAATCTACTTCAGAGCAGACGTACCATGGAGAGGGGCCTCAGGACCCGCCTCGAGGCGCTCAATGGCTGCGTTTTGGCGCCCACCGTGGCTGGACCCGTGGACGCTGCGACACTTCACTCGGTTTGCGTGGTCCTGGTAGTGCATTTGGGCCGAAGCACCCTTCGCCTGAGGGTTTTCGGGCGCCTTCGTCGGCTCTCTCCTGACTTCGGATCTGCTGTTATTGGTGGATTTCCGATTTTGTACACTGTGTCGGAACTGCACCCCGAACGGTGCGAGCAAGCAGGGCGGATAATGCCGCCTGAAAAAAGTAGGGGCGCTATCTCCGCAGAGGCACGGCGAAAACAGCGACGGCAGAGCATGGCAGAAATCAATATACAAGGATCTTGAACATTAGGGCTGAAATGTTCTCCCGTTTCTCAGAGCGTGAATTACCTACCCCGCTTTCGCTTCCAGGCAAAACCAAGCCATACCACGCGCCTCCTCGTCAAGCGGCCTGACCAGTACAGGTGACAATTTGGCGTCGTTTGGCATCTCTTGGAGGCGAGGGTGGCCAAAAGCGGGGTGGGCTTGTTTTCCCCCCAGTTTCTCTCGAGATCGTGTGAGGTACGGCGGGCCCGAAAAATCGGGCTCGGGGAGGGTCCTGGATATCCCTCGTCCTGGTCCTGGATATCCCTGGTCCTGGATATATCCCTGGTCCTGGATATCCCTGGATATCCCTGGATATCCCTGGATATCCCTCGTCCTGGTCCTGGTCCTGGATATCCCTGGATATCCCTGGTCCTGGATGCACCGTCCGCCGCTCCCGGTCCTCTGGACGTCCCTCGCCGCCACGGCCGGCCTCGCCTCGACCTCGTTATGCCCCGCAACGCGCCCGCGGAGGGGGGTCCGTGGTGGGAGCGGTGTCGGTGCCCCTTTTGCTCTGCTCCCCCCCCCAGGCTGAAGTCGGGCCTGTCCCTCTTCAGGGGGGACAGTTCAAGACTAGCCAGAAACCTGTTTTACATGTTGGGATTGTTTTGCGTACGGTAGGTTCGTGCGGCGTTGGCGCGCCGGCGACGCCGACGAGTGCACTCAAGGTTCAAGTCCACGACGCGGCAGCCCCGATGGACACGGCAGCGCCACCAGACCCGACGGGATTCAATTTTGAACGATCGGAATCGCGATCGATTCAAGGTTTAACGATAGATTCGGTGTCAAAAACCTTTGCGCGTGCCAACGCTGCACAAACCTACCGTACTTGTTTGATGTCTTTCCTTTTCCGTCCCAGATCCCCCTTGCAGGGGGACAGGACCGACCTGACCCCAGGCCTGGGATGCCTTCCTGCAGCCGCGCTGCGCCTCGCGGGGGGGCTTTTCTTCCAGGGGTGCCAGGATCCGCACAGGCGGCCGCCAGGACCCTGAAATTTGCGATCCGAAAGCCAGAGTGACCTTTGGCGCGGGCCTACCAGGGTTAAGTCGGGCCTGTCCCTCTACAGGAGGAAAATCAAAAAATACAAAAACAAATTGTCTGGGGATGATTTGTTTGACAATGTGTTGCTATTGTTGTATGTTTGGGGGGATTTGTTTTTATCTTCCGTCCGAAATCCGCCTGTGGGAGGACATGCCCGACCTAACACCAGGGTCCTCCGATCGCTGCACGCGATGCGGTAGCACCAAGTCGGGCATGCCCCTCTACAGGAGGAATCTCCAAACACAGTCAAAACATGGTTTGGGGACGATTGTTTGGCTATGTTTGACGGTTTGAAACTATTTTCCAAATATTTGTCATCTTCGCCCAGCATCCGCCTGTATGGGGGACATGCCCGACCCAACGGTAGCAGCTGCCTGCGCGCTCTCCGGCGTGCCACGCCCGCGTGCCCGGACAGCCGCGCGCCAGAGGTCGCAGGAGGCGGAGGAGGAGGAGGAGGAGGGAATGGAGGAGGAGGAGGAGGAGGAGGAGGGAAGGGAGGAGGAGGAGGAGGAGGAGGAGGAGGGAGGGATGGGAGGAGGGAGGAGGAGGCTGGAGGAGGAGGAGGTAGGAGGGTGATGAGAGGCGGAGGAGGGAGGGAGGAGGAGGGAGGGTTCGGTCACCTCGTGCGGCCGGGTGGGTTGCCCAGCTGGGCTGCGGCCTGCCAGCCCGAAATGAGCCGGGGCAGCGCACAGAGCGCCGCGCGAGAGAGGTATACTTTACATCGGGCACGTCCCCACAGGAGAGGAGGAAGCGGAGGAGGAGGAGGAGCGGAGGAGGAGGAGGAGGGGGAGAGGAAAGAGAGGAGAGGAGGCAGGAGGAGGAGGAGAGGAGGGGAGGAGGAGGGAGGAGGAGGAGGAGGAGGAGGAGGAGGAGGAGGTGTCCGCGGGGAGCACGTCCCTCTTGGGCGATGCTTAAGAGAACCTAAGTTTTCGGCCAGGGTCTCGATTATTCTTAACGTTTCGATGCAAATCTTAAGTTTTTCACAGAAGTGTTGGGTTTTTTGTTCAAGTTCTGAGACCATGAATTTCTTAACCCATGATTTCTTAAGCATTTCGCAGGGTGTACTTACATCGGGCACGTCCCTCTACAGGAGGAATATCCAGGAACTGTCAAAAACAAATATCTGGGGACGATGTTTCTACTGTTGTTGGCAATATTTGAGCATGTATGGACTATTATTTTTTTCGTCCAAGATCCGCCTGGGAGGGACATGCCCGACCTAAATATAGAAGTAAAGACCCCCTGCAAGTCAGCGCGCGGTCTGAGCTCGAGCAGGGCTGGACCTAAACGTTGTTTTGCTGGGCTTCGGCTGTGCTTTGTTTTACATGTTGGCAGGGAGGTACAGGAAACAACAGGTAGCACAACACGAGCATGAAAACGAAACCAACACGAAAAACAACGTTGAGGCCCCTGGCGTGAAGGAGGTAGAAGTAAAGACCCACGGCAAGTCAGCGCGCGGTCTTAACTCGAGGGGGTCTTAAACTTGCCCTCGTGCCCTCGACTCTTGGGGGCGGGGCCTTCTGTGGGCAGTCTTGTGGTACGCTTGGCCCGCCTGACGCCTCTGGGAGGCCTCGCTGGGACGCTGTGGGGTCCTCTTGGGGCGCTGTCGGGCCGTCATGGAGGTCGCTTTCGGGCCGTCTCGTGACTCCTTGGGGCCGTCTGGAGGCCCTTTGGGGCCATTTCGGGGGGGACTCTCTGGGCCGTCTTGGTGTCCTCCTGAGGAGCCCTCTGGCCGTCATGCAGATCTCCTGGGCCGTGGTGGGGCACTCTGGGCTGTTGGAAGCCTGAGAAGGCAGACAAGCGAAACCATTGAAAAACAATAGTCAATGAGTGTTGTTGGCTTCTTCGCCTCTGGAGGGCCTCTGGAGCCCTCGAGGGCTGTTTTACGACTTCCTTGGCCCGCCTGACTCTTTCGGAGGCCGTCTCGGGGGCTTCTCTTGGCTGTTTGGGGGCCCTCTTGGGGCGCTTTCGGGCCGTTGTGAAGATACTTAGGCCGTCTTGGGGCTGTATACTGAGTGCCTCATGGGCCGTCTTGGGGCCTCTCTGCCCGTCTTGGAGGCATCTGGGGCCGTCTTGGGCCGTCCGAAGCCCGAAGCCGCGGGAGCGCGAAACGGATTGAGAGACCGACGGGAGGCTTCTTGGGCTGTATCGGGGGCCTCTTGGGCCGTATTGCGGCAGTTTTATTTTCGAGACATGTTGGTCTAGTTTGGTGTATTGGCGCTGTCTGGCGGCCAAGCAGATCGTCGAAACAACCTCCGGGGCGGGTGTCAGGCAGGGGACCTCACCAGACAGCATCGGAGTATTCCAACTTCCAACCCATCCCAACGTGCGCAAGGCACGGTGGCGGACTGTGGCTGCTGATATTTTAACGAGCAAGTTTATTTATCGGGGGCGGTTTGGGGGATACGTCTTGGTTCCCCGACCCCCCGTCCCTGTTCGTCATCGTTCTCGCTCGTTTTTGTTCTTTTGGATTCTATCGAAGAGCTGGCGCGCACGTGCGTGCACACACACACACACGGATACACGCAGACCTTCCTAGCCACGCGCACGCGCACGCGCGTGCACCCGCTCGTCACCCACACGCACGTGGCGTTGCGACACATGCGGCAGGGCATGTAAGCGAAATCGGCCTTATTTGAGAGCGAGGCGCGAGTACAATGCTAGCAACCCCAGCCCCCGTCGCGGCCCTCGTCACCCCGCCACACCCATATTCTATACGCGCAAAGCGCTAAGCGGGACTTCGCTCCAGTGTTTTTTCCGAGGGCGAACGCTCAAGCAGCTCATGCCGAACACGAGGGTGCGCTCCAGCACCGCATTTTTGCCGAGCGCGAGCCTTCCAGCAGCCCGCGA